CTTATAGATACCTTACCATAAATTCCTTAGAACTGAGACACCCCTTACATGAGTTTCTTTAGAAAAGATACCTAAATAATCCACACGTGCAATAGATTTGAGTATCCCCTCCCTCTATTCCATCCAGTTCCTTCCCACCTCCCATTCAGATCCATCTCCTTTCTGTCTCTCATTAGAAAGCAAACAGGCTTCTCATGATCAATCACAAAATATAATAAGATAAAACAAAAAATAACATATTGGAATTAGACAAAGCAAGCAGAAGAAACAGAGCCTAAGAGAAAGCAGAAGAGAGCCTCACTTCCTCACACACTCAAGAAATCATAAAACACTAAACTAGAAACCATAACATGAATGCAAAGAGCGTGTAGGGTAAAAAGAAAGAAGTGTGTGTGTGTGTGTGTGTGTGTGTGTGTGTGTGTGTGTGTGTTTGTATAGAAAATAAAAATTAAAAAATAAGAATATAAATATAGGAAATAAGACATTTCTAGAAAGATAAGCTTTGACATGAATTATGAGACAAAGGTTCTCTGTGGATGCAACTTAATTCATTTTTTTTATTGACCATTTTTAGTGGCCCATGAGACCTACCCTTGAAAGGAGTTTTTTCTCCAGTGAAATTCCCTCGGAGAAAACGAAATTTTCATTTGAAAGTGCATATCTATTGGAGATAGCTTCTGAGTTAGGGATGTGGGCATGTGTCCACTTCCCCTATCAACTCTAAGAACTTACGCGGTGCACACCCATGGAGGACCTGTACATGCTGCCCCAGTGTCTGTGAGGCCCTATGAGCATCAGCTGATTCAGAGGGCTTTCTTTTCTTGCTATCCTCTATCATCTCTGGCTCTTCCATTGTTTTAAGCTAATTTTGCCTACTCATTCCTGTGATTCCATGAGACCTGAGGGGAGACACTTGATGAACATATCCCATTTAGGTTGGAGTTTTTCAAGGTCTCTCACTCTCTGTATAATGTCTGACTGTGGGGATCTGTATTTGTCTTCATTTCTCTGGTTGTGGCTGAACAAGGCACTGATATATGAGTATAGAATCATCATTTTGTTTTGCTTGTTTCTTTGTTTGTTTTTTGCTTTTTGTTTTTTTTTGTTTTTTGTTTTATTGTTTTGCTTTTTTTTATTTTAAGGGTAGTATTTGGTTTTACACTAGGTCCCAGGGTAGTCTTAAATTCTTGGTTCCCCAAGCAATATCTGATATGTGTTCACTCTTGTAGAGTGAGTCTTCAATTAAATCACTATTAGTTACTCACATAAACATTGTCCCAATATCACCATAGTTTATCTTACAGAATGTCATTAGTAGATCAAAGGCTTTGTGGCTGGATTGATGTCTTTGCTTCTTCTTTGGTAGCATGCAGAGTACCTTCATGTCCCATAGACACCGGGATATAGAGGTAAAGTCTCTATGTAGGCACCAGCATAGAGTCTCCCTTTTCACTGTTTTCTGTAGATGTTGTCTTTATCAATGGATCTTTGCATTCTGTATGTTGAGAATGCCCTACAGTGGTGGTAGCAGCCTGGTTTGTTTGTGTGTTTCCATGGGACTCCTTTTGCTAACAAAATTTTCTAACCAAATCCCAGCAATGGAAGTTTACTTTGCTGTTAAGAAATGGCCAACTTGGACTCTATTTCCCCAATTTGATGATTTCTTTCACATCTCCTTCATACATGTGTGTACTTTAGGAGTCTTCTACTGTATTAGGTTCCCATATTATCCCTCAAATGGCCATTAACTTTAGTTGTCTCTCTTCCATTTTAACTTACTCATATCCTGTTCCCTCCCCCTTTCCATTATATCTTCCCATTCTAGCTGTCCCCATATTCATCCATAACTATACATTATATTTTCCTTTTCTAGGGAGATCTAGCTGTCATTTCTTAGACCTTTACTGTATATCCAACCTCTGTGGTTCTGTCGACTGTGGCTTGGATATCATTGACTTAACAGCTAATATCCACATATAAGTGAATATATATCACATTTGTCTTTCTGGGTCTAGGTTACCTCACTCAGTGTGACCTTTCTAGTTTCATCCATTTACCTGCAATTTTCATGATTTTATTGTTGTTTTCTCAATGGCTGAGGAATGCTCCATTATGCAGTATATACATTTTCTTTGTCCATTTTACTGTTCAGGGACATCTTGGTTGTTTCCAATTTTAGGCTATTATTAATAGAGCTGCAGTGAGCATAATTGAGTAATTGTCCTTGTAGTAGGGTCAAGCATCTTTTGGGTGTGTGCCCAAGAGTGGTAAGCTGAAATCTTGAGGTCGATACATTCCAATATTTTTGAGGAACTACCACACTGATTCCCGTCCTGGGTGAGGATGCTTACATTCCCACCAGCAATAGATGAGTGTTCTCCTTATTCCAAATCCTTGCCAAGATGAGCTGTCACATGTTTTATTGACCTCGGCCTTTCTGAGAAGTGTAACATGAAATCTCAAAGGAAATTTGGTTGGGATGTCCCAGATGACTAAAGATGTTGACAAGTTCTTTAAGTAGTTTCAGCTATTTGAGTTTCCTTTAGATAATTCTGCTTATATCTGCATCACATTTTATTTGGGCTATTTGTTTTTGTTTTCTTGATATATAATTTTTTAGTTGTTTACACATTTTGGATATAGCCCTGTATTGTGTATGTAGTAGTTGAAAACTTTTTTCTATTATGTAGGCATTCACTTTGTCCAAACAACAGTGTCCTTTGCCATACAGAAACTTGTCATATTCATGAACTCCTATTTACTAGTTTTTGATCTTAGTGCCCGAGCTAATGGTGTTCTGTTCATAAAGTCTTCTCTTGTACCAATGAGTTCAAGGTTATTCCCCACCTTCTCTTCTTTCACATCTAAAGTATCTGGTTTTATGTTGAGGTCTTTTATCCATTGGAAGCTGCATTTTGTGCAGGGTGATAAGTAAGGACCTATTAGAATTCTCCTACATGTAGCCATTCAGTTTGACCAGCACCATTTGTTGAAGAAGCTGTCTTTTCTCTGGTATGTGTTTCTGGCTTCTTTAGCAAAAATCAGGCCCATTGCTGTGTGTATTCATCTCTGAGTCTTCAATTTAACTCCACTGATCAACTTGTCTGACGTTGTGCCAATGCCATGCCTTCACTGGCTTGGCTAGAGTTACCCAAAGATATTTTAAATTATTAGAGGTTACTGTGAAAATTGTTGTTTCCCTGATTTCTTTCTGAGTCAGTTTGTCATTTGTATATAGGAAGGCTACTGATCTTTGGGAACTCTGTAAACAACTGCTATGTTGTAACTATATCAGTTGTAGGATTTTCTACTGGAATTTTTAGAGTCACCTATTAATTTCTATTCTATTATCTGAAAGTAAGATACTTTGTGACTTCTTTTTATCCTGTTTATCTCCTTCCGTTTTCTTCTTGGAATGAAATTTAAGAATACAATTATAGTATCCAATGCAATGATTGATCTTCAAAATTTAAAAATTCTCTAACATTTTTTTTCATTCTGCAAACCAAATATGGAACTTTGCATATTATTGACAGTATTCTACCACTGCACCATATGCTTCACCTTAGTAATAATTTCTTATGAGTTCATTCTCATGAATGATACCCCCATATATTACATTTAATTCATTCCCTAATAGTCATATAGTATTGTAAATATGAATAACCCAAAATTTAATAATTTCATTTTAGAAAAAAATTCTAAATTTATCCACTAATGCTTGATGAAATAACTTACAAATAAATGTGATGTTTAAATTGTGATTTTTTTCTAGGAACAATAGGGTTATTAATGTCAAGGAGGAAGAAAAACATATTCCAATGTAATTGCACCAGAAAGAAGGGAATAAAAACCAGGAAATTTAACGTGGCTCTTGAAAACAGTAAAATTGCTCTCATTGGAAACAAGTTTCTATTCTCTATTTGAACTCTTTAAAAATTAGCATGTAGATTGGGATCATTTTTGAAGAAACTAAAATTTCAAACTGAAGAGTTTAAATGCTTTTGCATAGGCACTGGAGAACCGTGGAAGACTTTGAATTAAAAAGCATCTCAGTAAAGGACTAGTGTTCCCGAAAGGTCTGGGCAGAATTGTACGTGGAAAAAAGAAAATGCATACACAGTAATAGCAGTTGGAGAGGTTGCCATGATAGAGAGTAACCTGAGTAATGCAAGCAATATGGCATTGAATTAAACTTCCCAAGATTTATTCTGATGATCACAAAATTACTTTTTACTGTTTTAAACTCTTGGAACTTAAAAAAAAAATCTTCTTTTATAGTGACAGAAGTTAATAATATAAATCTAACTAATATAATAACAACACATTAACCTTTTTGGCCATATAAAAGTCCAATATGGGAGCTAAGGCAGTACAAACCATAGTGTTCACTATATGGCTGTTCCTGTTTTACATGTATTGACTGTTTCTTTGGAGAAGCTGACATCTTCCCAACATGGCTCCACCAAAAATATAGAGACTCTTTAAAGATGGTGTGCGTGAAGCTCCATGGTGATGCTATCATGTAAAGTCTCTGAATTTTGCTGCATACAAAATTTAGTTCAATATTGTTTAAGTTGTGAGAAAAACAATTTCAGGTACTGTTACTTGTCCTTTTCTTTTAAAACAGACAGAACAAAATACAGAATCGCAGCAAGTCTTTGATGTGAATCACTGTTCGCCAGTCTTTCCAGGTTTTCATGCTCCAATGTTTGAATGTGCATAATGACTTGCCCAGTGGCCTTTTCTTGAATATCTAAAAACTTGCAGTGCAAGGCAAATGTATTCATTCAATTAATGAAACTGCTTTGTGGCATTGAATTCACCAATAGCCATACACTAGAAGGTCAGGAGTTTGTCCACAGATTTCTTTAATGTGTGTCTTTGTTTATGCTATTTTTGTTAGTTAATTTGCCTTGGCACTTTTGTACTGTGTGCGTCATCATTACACGTACCTCACTAATTTTGTGTGTCTCTCTCTCTTTGCTTTGCTTCTTCAGTGGGAAGAGATCAGTGGTGTCGATGAGCATTACACACCCATCAGGACATACCAGGTGTGCAATGTCATGGATCACAGCCAAAATAATTGGCTGAGGACGAACTGGGTCCCGAGAAACTCAGCTCAGAAAATCTATGTGGAGCTCAAGTTCACACTACGGGACTGCAACAGCATCCCTTTGGTTTTGGGGACTTGCAAGGAGACCTTTAACCTGTACTACATGGAGTCTGACGATGACCAGAGTGTGAAATTCCGAGAGCATCAATTTACAAAGATTGACACCATTGCGGCTGATGAAAGCTTCACCCAGATGGATCTTGGGGACCGCATTCTGAAACTCAACACTGAGATTAGAGAAGTGGGACCGGTCAACAAAAAGGGGTTTTATTTGGCTTTTCAAGACGTTGGTGCTTGCGTTGCCTTGGTGTCTGTGAGAGTGTACTTCAAAAAGTGCCCGTTTACGGTGAAGAATCTGGCTATGTTTCCAGACACAGTACCCATGGACTCCCAGTCTTTGGTGGAGGTTAGGGGCTCTTGTGTCAATAATTCCAAGGAGGAGGATCCTCCCAGGATGTACTGCAGCACAGAGGGTGAATGGCTTGTCCCTATTGGCAAGTGCACCTGCAACGCTGGGTATGAAGAACGAGGTTTCATATGCCAAGGTAAGAGCCTCCTTTTTTTCTTTAAAGTTAAATTTGTCTCCAGTGAGTTTATTATAAAGTAATGAAAATAAATTAACCGAATCTGATCTCACTTGGCCATACAACACAGCTCAGAATTATGAGTCGATTTATATGCTAAATTTATCCCATTTGATGTGTTGATTCGTGATCTGTTCTGAAATATTAATGGATGTAACTCTGGGGTGCTGGACTGCACCCTGGAGAGGTGTCATCTGTGCTACCTTTTTCATTGTATTTTACTTTATTGAGTTAGTTGGGAGGATGCCCACATACAATGGTGTATTTTGTAAAGGTATTAGGGCAGGTTGAAGAAGTGGTTTCTCCTTTTAACATTTGGATCCTGGGCATCAAACTCAGGTTATTAAACGTGATAGTAGGCACCTTTGCAGGCTGGGCCATCTTCCAGGCTTGAGGTTTGCTTACTAGCTTATGTTTGATGGTTGTGTGATAGTAGTAATTAAAGTGAAATACATCTGCCTTTTTTGACACTGAGGGCAGAAACATCTTTGGTACTCAGATAATCTAATTATAACAAATAGAGTGATACGTATATCTGTCCTACCTATCTCAGTAATATTCTCTTAATATTTATAAAATATGGCCTGTGATTGATAGTTAGTGATAGTTGGCTACCAAGTGGATGTTTAAATGCTCTAAGAAAATGATTTTATTTAAAATTCCAAGGCCAGTATACTTGTATTGGCTTATTATGGCATACCTGTTTTTTATGTGTGTGTGTGTGTGTAGGGGGGGAACTTGAAGTTCTGTGGCAAAGGAAATAGGGAGAATCTGGGGGAGAAAAAATATTATAGGTATTTACAAAATTGTATGCAATTTTTTATACATTTAATATTATTAGGGATTCTGAATTTTTATCAGTTTGACTATTACTTTTTAAGACTATGTATTTAATGCAAAAAATACTTAAAATATATTTTTCATATAAATTATATTTATCAGACATACAAGATTATAATCCTGTTTCAATTTTTTTGTTTTCAATTAGATAGTTTTTATATTTGATCATGCTGAAACTATCAATTATATTTGAAGAGTACAAATATATGTGTGAATATTAGTGCATGGTCCTGTGACTTTTCTTCATTTTCACACTTCTATTTACTGTTAGCCTCTGTCACGAGAACAGTCTGTTATTCTGCTGATGGACATTCAGTAGGAACAGTTGAGAAGTCCATGTAACGGAAATGAACTACTATTTATGCAGTTTATCCTTTAATTCAGTATGAACAGGTGACAGTATCTTTCCTTTGAATACAGCATGGTTTGTAAAAACACATTAAATAAAGGAAAGGCAGGGTAGCACAGTGAGATGAATGCTGTCTGTGCAGGCATGCAGACCCAATTTAGATCTCTGGCATTCACATAAAAGCCATATGTGGTGGTGGATTTTTACTGTATGTATATCTACAGATCACATGGATGACTGGTTCCCATAGGTTGGCAGATCTTGTGGTACTGGAGGTACAATTGCCTAATTGTGAGCAGGCATGGAGTTACTGGGACCTGAACCCTAGATTCCAGAAGAGCAGCCAGTGCTCCTCAATACTAGACCATCCCTCTAGGTACCATTTTTTTTTGAAATCCACATCTTTCCTTTAAACCTCAGTGTCATTAGTATTGAAATTAAGATAGGTAATCAGATAGGTTAGACCCAAATGCTAAGGTTAGCCCAAACTGTTTTGTCAATGGTGACAATGTGAAATACAAGTGTACATGTTGTATGGTAGTAGTTTGAAGAAACTAAGATCTCAAAGAGTTTACACAGAGTTATCAAGAACCTATCATAAGCCTTATATGCATCTCCTTATTTCTGACATCTATTTTGTTTTGAGAATTTTAAGACGTTGTTACTTGAAAGATTATTTTGGGGTTCTATAAGATATATCTGGATGGAAACTAAGATAATCTAGATTTGTAAATTATTAAGAATTGTACACTTGCAGACCAGTCTGTGAAATGCAATACAATAACTGTTTCTCACAAACTATTAGTGCAAAATAATAATATGGCAGACATGGGAGAAATGCAGATGAATAAGTCATTGTGTCTACCTTCCAGGCGTTCACAGTCTCCTTAGAATGACAGAATCATAAATTAATGATTTTAGTGTAAGACAGACCAATAAATATTCTGTCCTGTGTGCAATGAGTTTTGTCAGTCTAGGAGAAGAAGAGATTAATATTCTAGACTTAAAAATTAATCGTAAAATTGCTAATTAATGAGATGGCTTTGTGTTGGCTGTAGAGGCATTTTTACTGTGCTTACAAACATTAGGAATAGAAAGAAAAGGAGGGGTTGTCTCTAATGACTCTCATATATTCCAAAAGAAAGAGTTCCCAATTATTATTACATCATTATACTTAAATCCTAGACCCACATAGAAAACACATACAAAAACATACAGAAGTGTTTTTATACGAGTCACTTCCACAGGGAAGCCTCTAGAAAGATTTAGATTTCATTTATAGGCCATTTCCTAACATAACAAATCTAATATGCCAATTACTTTCCCAATCTAGATGGGTAATTAAGACACTTAATGTTCAGTGATCTGAATGATGAGAATGTGACAACCTCTACTTGATGGGAAAATTACACTGATAACAAGGTTTTGGATTCAACAAACATATCCATCAGTTTTCAAAGAATGAATAGTAGCAAAATGAACATTCTCCAGAGCAGAGCAAAATTCTAAGTATGTAAAGTACATCATTTATATTTTTACAATAATCCACTTTTCCTGTATTGTTTTGACCATGGATTTAATTAATTATTTATTGAGTTATTAAGCTGTGCTAAGTCTACTGCTGAACATTAGAATAAAAATCAAAAGACAAATATTATCTTTGACGAGTTTGTTTTTTACATTATAAATGTATATGTTGGAGCTAGAGAGATGGTTCCATAATTATGAATGCTTGCTTCTCTTGAGGAGTTTTGTTCCCAGTATTCATTTTGGACATCTTAGAACCACTTATAACTACATCACCAGGGTATCCAATTCTGTCTTCTGGCCTCTGCATGCACTTGTGACACACACACACACACACACACACACACACACACACACACACACATACAAACACACACAGAGACAAAGTCTTAAAATTAAATTATGTGTTTGTTTTTAAAAATTTGGAGAAAATAGAATGTCAGCTAAATGATTAAAGACATAAATAATAGTTCAATGCAAGATAATCTGTAATCCCAGTACTCAGAAGCTCAAGGTTATTATTGCTATACATATGAGGACAGCCAGAACTACAGCATGGACTTCAGGCAAGGCTGAGCTATGGTATGAGATCCTGCTTCAAAAACAAAGGGTCAATAAAAATAAACCAATTAAGAAAGAAATCTGGAAAGTGAGCTAACGGTGCTACTGTAGAAACAGGTATTGGTGTGGGAGAATAGTCACATGAAAGCCTCTCTTGCATCCTCTCTTCAAGAAGATGCAACTGATCTTCCTTCTCTTTTTTTCCTTTAATTTAAACTAGATCCTTTATTCATATATGATATCCTGGTTAAAGTTTTCCTTCTTCTCTCCACTCCACCCAGTTTCTCTCTACCTTCCCCCTTCCTGATAAACTCCCTTTCTGCCTCTCATTGGAACAAAAAGCTTACTTGTTTTGTATCCTGCTCTTGTTCCTTTGTTTGAGATCAAGAAATAAAATCCACGAAAGCGTTCTCCCTCCTTCTGCTCCTCATTTGGAGCTTGGGAACTCCGTTCAGTGCTCCAATGTGGGTCTCTATCTCCATCCATCTCCAGATGAAGGTTCTATGGTGATGTGCAAGATATCCATCAGTGTGCCTATAGGATAGGGCCAGTTCAGGCATCCTCTCCTCAGCTGCCCAAGGAACAAGCTAGGGACATCTCCTTGGACACCTGGGAACCCCTGCCAACCCTAAAATAGCTCCCTTAATTAAGATATATGCTTGCCTGCTCCCATACTCACCTTTCTTCCATCCCAACTGTCCCATTCCCCCAAGCTCTTCCCATCCTCCCCTTCTCCCTTCTCTTTCCCCAACTCCCCTTACCCCCACACCATCCCCACCTCCAATCTCTCAATTTTTGCCTGGTAATCTTGTCTTCTTCCAATATCCAGGAGGATAACTATATATTTTTCTTTGAGTTCACTTTCTTATTTAGCTTCTCTAGGATCACGAATTATAGGCTCATTGTCCTTTAATTATGACTAAAATCCACTTATGAGTGAGTACATACCATATTCATCTTTTTGGTTCTGGGTTACCTCACTCAGGATGGTGTTTTCTATTTCCATCCATTTGCATGCAAAATTCAAGATGTCATTGTAGTACTCTAATGTGTATATAATTCCACACTTTCTTTATCCGTTCTTCCAATGAAGGGCTTCTAGGTTGTTTCTGGCTTTGTGGGAGCCTAGTCTGTTTGGAAGCTCACCTTCCTAGGCCTGGATGGAGAGGGGAGGACCTTGGACTTCCCACAGGGTAGGGAACCCTGACTGCTCTTTGGGCTGGAGAAGGAGAGGGAGGGGGAAGGAAATTGGAAGAGGTGGAATTTTTTAATAAAAAATAAAAAAAATGCTGAAAAAAATCCAAGAAAACGGAGGAAATGGTGTGCCTTCATACTTCAAAGATCATTTAGAGGCAGAGAGTAAGATAATAAGAAATACTGACAATAACACCTTTCAATAGTTACTTGCTAAGAAAAGTAAGAAAACAGAAAATATGTAGTCCAGAAGATAAAGAACACTGAGTATAATGAATGTGAGAGTAGATGCTCTTATGAAGGACCATCCTCAGCAAAAACTGATGAGTAAGGCAAGGATGAGTATGGAGGTATGACATCATGCATCACTTTGACTCTCTAGAAATTCCTCTAGCATATCTCTTGTTTCAGTCAGTCATGACTCACATTGAAAAAAAGAAATCAATATATGGCTTTTCATTCTCAAAGCTTTAGTGCTAGAATGTAATCC